ACCTTAGCTCCTTTATTTCATTTGTAGGATGTATGGAGACAGGATGTTGGACTTTCTATACTTCCCACGTACAAAAACGTGCCTTATAGTCTATGAGTTGAGGGCGTGTGTCCAAAGACTGATTTTCGAGATTATCAATATTTTAAGTAGAGTGGTAAAATATCTTTCGAAAGGTCCAAATAGAATTTGTTTATCTAAAAAATGTACAACTCGGCAAATATAGCTAGATACTTTTAAAACCTTTAGAGAACGCATTCGGAAGAAAAGAGATGCATGATACGGCCGATCTGAGGACTAATAAAGGTTTTAATATCAACATTATTATTTAAACATTAAAAAAATAGTAAATTTTCGATTTATTTATACAATTACAATACACCGCCGACGCGACGGTGGACTAGTGGTCAGTGCCGCTCCCTGACGTAGGGTACGGAGTCGGCCAAAACCATGCGTCCAAACTCTAGGAATGGGGCGGCCGTACTCGGGCGTCACATTCCTGTTGATTGGAGGCATGGGACAATAAACAGGCAACCAATATAAGTCCTCAAAATATGCTGTATGTTCAGGTTGAGCTGGGCAAAATGCGATCGATGCTGGGGATGGGCCTCGCTGCCTAGGACCGTGGGGGCTGACTTGCCGCACTACACTGGCTCACCAGTGGTACAGCACCGCGTGGTACACTACCGCGAATGGTGTGTGCGGCGGGGTAGCTCCCATGGTCACGGGTAGAGGGGTTGGTCTCCCGCATGGATTGCGAAAACCGCAAACTTCCTTAATTATCTAACCAGGTTTTTTGACTATTTTTCCTGGGAAATCCACACAATATATCTCAATAATAATTATAAAAAACAATCCACAGCAGTAATTATCGACCTAGGTCACATTTAAATACAGAGCTGCAGAATCACCCGGTGAAAAGGCGGCCAAATTCAAGAGTAAACCGAAAACAAATGTGCAGTACAAATGGGCGACTTCCACCGTCGGTGTCTTCGAGAGGCCATGCTCCGAGGACGCAGCTACCAACAAGAAGACCAAATATTGTATTTGAAACTATCTGTTGTTGTTATCAATCATGCTACCTTTGTATATGTATATTTGTATATGATCTGTGATACTAATTCTTAAATAAATAATCTTTGACTTTGACTTTGCTGACTACAAACCGAAAGGTCGTGGGTTCGAATCCCACATTTGTATGGTTGTTTATTTGTGTTTGTCCAATTGTATATTAGTCCTTCGGAGGAGACGCGGGCGCGTTCTATTCCTACCCATAACCCGCAAAAGCCATTCAGTTGGCTTCTGGGACTTCTTACGAAGTAAGGGTGGAACTAAAAGAGCACTTTTGGGTATACTTTTTGTATAATTAGAATAGAATAGAGGTATACCTAAAATTATACAAATGTTTTTACGAGTGCCATTGATATTATGTAGTATGCTATGAATATGTGATTTGGTGTATATTTTTATTTAAAGTTCTTATGAATATCGATTATAATATAAAGTTATAAAAAGTATCCAATTTGCAGGAAATACCATTTTTTGAAAATAAAAATTTCCCATTTTTTGCGAAAATTTTTTCGTCCAGAGGAACTAAAAGAAAATTGTTCAAAATTTAACAGAATGTTCTCCTCAATATATACTAAAAACTGTAAAAAAATATTGTTGCCTTGCTAAGAAGATACAACGGTTTAAAATGCGACAAATTTTATAGAATGTGGCGCTAAATTTATGTATGACTTTTGTTTAAGAAGGCTTTGATAGAAAAGTAAAACTATATTTTTTACATTTAAAAAATATTTACATGTTAAAAGTTAATTGAATGAAAACATATATTTGTAAATTTATTTGAGTTCATTGATAATTTTTTAAATTAATAATAATTTCCTAGCTTATTGTTTTATTTCTACTTTATTTATTTTTATTGTTACAATTTTATTATGTGCTTTGTTGGACAATTCGTGAATTATCAAAAACTGATGAAATGTGATATTTTATTACAAAATATTGAAGTAGTACAGATTTGTAAACTCCTTTAAAACTAAGAGTAAATGAAAATATTCAAACAGTGTGTCATTTAAAAAAATATGTGTATAAATATTTTCATATTTTTGGCAAGGTTTGTTGTGATCCCTTTAAAATTCACAAAACCCCGATAAAAATCCTTATGAGAAATAATCATTATAACTTACGAAACATCAAAAATTGGTTTGACCGTGGGCAAGGCGTTTTGCATAAACTGTTATAAAAATGTTACTAAAAAAGAAAAAAAAATAAAGTGAAAAAAGAATTAGAAATTAATACCTACGAACCGATATTCAATCCATTGAACTAAAAAAATTCAGGAATAAGGAGTACTACAAAACAAGAAAAAAAAATACAAAATAAACATATATGATGAAAAGACGGAGCAGGTCGTTATAAATTTTTATAATAATGATGAATTTAGCCGCATTTGTCCAGGAATAAAGGATTGTGTTTCGGTAAGAACATCAGAGAACAAAAAAATCAAAGTACAAAAAAGACTTTTGTTGTATAATTTACAAGAAATGTATGGGAAGTTTGTAGAAACCGAGCCCGATTCAAAAATAAGTTTTTCCAAATTTGCTAGGCTTAAAATTTTAAAAAATAACCCCTTAATAAGCAAGCCTGTTCGCATATTTTAGGAGGTAGAGGGTTTTGGTTTTCGAACTTTTCCATTTATTCGACGAACCCTACTATACAGGGTGGCCGATTTATCTGAAGACATTGAAATATTTCGAAAACTACGCATCGGATCAAAAAAAGTTTTGAATAAAATTTGTTCGCCTGGAAGGGGGCCATCCAATGATACAAAAGTCGACCCTCACCACCACCCCCTGAGGTTGGGGTGGGGGCAACTTTATAATTCTAAATAGGAACCCCCATTTTTTATTGCAGATTCGGATTTCCCATTAAAAAATAAGTAACTTTTATGGAAAAACTTTTTTTTAATTCCTGATAGATGGCGCTGTAATCGCAAGAAACCCGATTTTTGGGAATATCTTAAAAAATTACACATCGGATCGAAAAAAAGAAAAACTTGTTTAATTTTTGAATTTTATTCGTATATCAATAAGTTAACATCTATTTTTAACGTTACGCAAGAACAAGGACCAGGACGCAGTAGTTTTTTGTTCCCATCAGGGTGCTAGTTTTAAGAGAGTCCCCCTGCCTCTCACTGTTTAATAAATTAGATTAAATGTTCGAAATTGTGACCTTGAACTTCTAGACACTTATTTATTCTTTTTTCAAATGATTGCACGCAGGAGAGGAGCATATCTGCGGGAATTTCAGCACAAGCGTTTCTTATGCGCTGTATCATGTATTCCCGAGTTGTTGGTGCTTGTTGAAAAACCTTATCTATTAGATAACCCCACAGAAAAAAATCCGGTGATGTCAAATCAGGTGACCTAGCAGGCCAATTAACCGGGCCACCTCTGCCGATCCATCGGCCATTGAAATCACGGTTCAATACTTCCCGTGCTTTTGCTGAGTAATGGGCTGGGCAACCGTCATGCTGAAACCACATAATTTGTCGAATGGGCAGGGCAACATCCTCAAGTAGAGGTGGTAGTTCATGTTCCAGGAAATTTCGATATTTGATTCCATTTAAGGTTCCATCAATGAAATAACCAATGAGTTTGTTACCTAAAATTCCACACCAAACGTTAACCGACCAGGGACGTTGATGTTCAACTTGTCGTAACCACTCCAATAGTGCATGTTATGCCGTAACGAAACCATGGTTTGTGAATGTGAACTCATCTGAAAATAGTACATTAGCGAAGAAATTGGGATTTCTTTGTATTTGCTGAACTGCCCATTCACAAAATTCTACTCGCCGATGAAAATCATTGCCATGAAGTTCCTGATGCAGTGAAACCCGGTAGGGGTGATACTTGTGACGATTCAATATTCTCCGAATACTATCTCTGGAAATCCAGAGATCCCGATGTATTTCCCGAGTGCTTACATGAGGGTTATGTTGAACAGCTGCTATCAAATTAATTTCATTAGCTTCTCCTGTGACAGTGTTTCTTCGTTTTCTTTTAGTAGTTGTACACTACCGTCGGATTTAAAGGATTGAACAACTTTATAAAAAAACGGGCGTGAACGAATATTATCTGGAAAACGTTCAGCATATAAGGCAACAGCATCGTCAATATTCCGCCTACATTCTCCGAAAATCAGAATCATTTCAATTTTTTCTTCTACGGTTGCAGCATTCATTTCTCACTCGTACGTTTCTAAATCAACTGCGAATGTTGCGTCTATAAAAACGGAACATATGTTTTTATAGACGCATAAGTAAGGTATAAATATGTTTTTATATCATACCTGGAAGCATTAGTAAGGTATAAATATTTTTAATTTGTACCAACATCAAAAGGAATTAATTAATTTAATTTATTTTGAATTCCCTAACAATTCTCGTATACACTAATTAAAAAATGGGGGTTCCTATTTAGAGGGGGTGGTGAGGGGTCGAATTTGGTATCATTGGATGGCCCCCTTCCAGGCGAACAAATTTTATTCAAAACTTTTTTTTGATCCGATGCGTAGTTTTCGAAATATTTCAATGTCTTCAGATAAATCGGCCACCCTGTATAATATACGAGATATTTGGCCAGTTCTCACAAAATGGTCCCTACTCCTTAAGTAGAAAACCATTTGTTTAAACTGCGTTACAGTTTGGTTTATTAAAATAATGTTTTTTCCTAGTAAAAAGGAACAACAGATGTTATAAAACAACTGATAATTTACACTATCTATAGTATAGATTCTATACATTCAAGTTTTGACAGGTTCCGTACTTTCCGCGATCCGACAAATATTGTCTTGAGAATACTGAAAGGAAACGTAATGTGCCTGATGCGATCCGTACCTGACAGAGTTCATATTATAATAATTATATTTTTTTTGTATTTGAAACAATAGGTAAAAAATAAAAGCTTGTTTTAATTGTTTTTCTCTTGTTTTAGGTCATCACAAAATTCATATTACAAAGTATTAATAGCTAATGCTGCGATAAGCGCGCTAAGACTACATCAAAGAATAGGAAGAGTTCAATTGAGCAGAGCTTTTTTGGGAGAACTTTTAGCAGAAGATAGTTTTCATTATCTGTTTTATTCCCTGATATTTTTATATGTGGCTCCAGTAAGCTGTATCCTTTTTAAATTTCTCTATGTTTATACAAGGTGCGGCAAAAAGGATGCCCCATTTTTAAAGGGTCATTGCTCGGCTCGGGGGGGGGGGGGGGTGGATCAGTGCGCGTGGTCGCTTTAGGTTGGTACGTGCATGCCATTTTCAGTGGTCATAATAATTATGTCAGAAATATTTGGGATGTCAATAAAAATCAAACTAAGAAAAAGCTTTCTATTTTTTAGGTCCATAATTACGCGTGGGTTTTTTAAAATAAAATGTCCGGGCAAAGTTGTCTCTTTACGGGGTGATATTTGGTGGCCTCCGCGTTCGCCTGATTTGACGCCTTGCGATTTTTTTGTGGGGGTATCTAAAATCACAAGTTTTTAAACATCGTCCACAAAATTTGGAAAATCTAAAGGTAGCAATAAGGCAAGAAATAAACGCAATTCCGCAATACAGGGCGCGCAGAGCAATGAAGAGCTGTCGTAATAGGCTTCAAATGTGCATTGACTATAACGGCGGTCATTTAAGAAATATCATTTTTCAACGTTAAAATGTATAAAATAATATGTGTTTCCTAAAGATAGAAAGATTTTTTCTTAGTTTACATTTTATTGACATGCCAAATATTTCTGACAGAATTATAATGACGACTGAAAATGGCATGCACGTACCTACCTAAGGTGACCACGCGCACTGATACACACCCCCCACGAGCCGAGCAATGACCCTTTAAAAATGGGGCATCCTTCTTGCCACACCCTGTACATGTGTTTTATTTGTATTTAATGTTGCCTTGAATGGACTTACTAGGTTTTTGATCTGCTTAGATTATTGCTTATTCTTAAAAAACCTAGAGCCGGCCATACATGTGTGCTATACATACTTGCGCGTTGAGGTTCGTTAGTGTGTTGTCAAAAATCACAAACGTGCGTAACTACAAACAACAACAAACAACACAATGTTAAATATCAACAAGCAAGCATGTATGGATACAATACATAACAAGGTATATAAGTAATTATGGCTTATCCACTTAATTATTTATTTATTATTTAATATAAAGTAAAGAAGCTTAATTTCCTTATTTTAAAAACATGCATATATATTAGGGTGGTCCTTACAAGGATCATTTTTTAATTTTGTTCGTGTCGCCCCCTATAACTCTTCCAAATAGTTAAAAAAATCCTGCCAGGTCTTAATTTTAATATTAACCTGACCCCCCACCAGAGCTGTTCCGAGTACAATGAAAAAGTACTCGAGTACTGAATACAAGTACTCTTATATAAAAGTACTCGAGTACCAAGTACAAGTACAGTTCCGTTGTACTCGAGTACCCATACGAGTACAAAGTACAGAGTACACTTTAGTTATGAAATGTTGGGAAAAATGCTAGAGAAATGGGGCGATTAAAAAATGAATTTAAAATCACTAGTGCAAAACTAAATACTAGCCGGCCTATTGCCTTCATCAAATATTGATATTTCGCTTTATGTTAATTATCAAGGCCGGCTAGTATCTTGTTTTACTTTGCCTTGGCTTTATTTTTTAATTATCTTTTTGAGGAATATTGTCACCTTATTTCTACCAAAATATAAACAAAATTACATTTCATACATAAGTAAAAACCTTTTGTTCAATGATTTTTCCTGTGTCTTTTTATTTATTGAGTGAGGCTGTCTTAAGGCTGTCGTGTGAGGCAGGCTGGCTGAGGCTGCCTCAGGCAGCATGTTCGTAATTCGACAAGTCTGAGCAGTGTTGCTCATTTTCAACACCCACGCACATATTTGCACATATTTGTCCACGCCAACCTCACCGCATAAAAATGTACTCATTGCATATTTTGGATGTACTCGAGTACACGTAAAAGTACTCGAGTACACGGGAAAGTACTCGAGTACATTTTTGCAATCTTAAATGTATCAAGTACAAGTATAAGTACATTCAAATTAAAGTACTCGGGACTGAGTACCGAGTACACTGAAAGTACTTGAAGTACAGTGTTTGAGTACTTGTACTCGAGTACCGCACAGCTCTGCCCCCCACACAAAAGAATAGATTTTCAATGGAATAAAACATGTTTTTTTTTAAATCAAACTTTGAATTTTTATAACTCGGAAAGTGTTTAAGTCTCCAGATTAAGACTAATATATTTTTCAAGAAAATTTTACTATTTACAAAAAAATTCTAATCAAAGATTTAAGTTAGTCAAGCCATTTCAATTATATCAAGATATATCAATGATATCAAGCATTGACCTAGTATAACAAAGGAGAAAAAAGTTTTAGATGGAATTTTTATAACTCGAAAGTATTTTAATTTACTGGATTAAGAATCAAATATTTTTCAAAAAAATTGTACTCTACGAAAAAAGTCGAATAAAAGATTTACTAATTTTCGAAAATGCTTTGTTTTCGATACACCGTGTCCCAAGTTAATTGTTGTACAGGGTCCGGCAGAGAGGACGGACGGTTTTAAAAAAATCATAAAATAGTTAATTTTTACTCAAAAACAAATTTATTGATGGAATCAGGTTCGCAAGGAAATAGCATTTGAGACAGTCAAGTGTGGAAAATCACATCAGGCATGTGGTGGCCGAAATTGTTGATGCAGTGCTGGAGGCGTTCTCCAACATCGCTCTCTCAACTTGGGCGACTTCCACGCGAATTGCGTCCTTCAATTCGTCCAGAGTCCGGGGCTTGTTCTCGTATACTCTAGCCTTGAGGTGTCCCCATAAGAAAAAATCGCATATGGATAAATCTGGGGACCGAGGAGTAATGGTCGTGCTGTTACCGTGAACCTACCTACCTACCTAACTATTTTATGATTTTTTTAAAACCGTCCGTCCTCTCTGCCGGACCCTGTATTATTGGAACTACAAGGTCAGTTAAATTAGCAAATTAGTGGCATTTTTTCCTTGGATTAAAATAGTGATAACAGAAAAACAATTAAACGTTAAATTAAAAATAAATATTTACAATCAAAAACCTCATCCTAAACACAGTGACTCTCCACTCCTCGAGACGCGAGGTCGTGTAGTGAAGGCTCTCGTATGACACGTTCGTACACATATAGTGCTACCACGCTATTGATGTGCAAATTATATATTTTATACGTGATCTACCACAAAGTGCAAAAAGGGTGTAAATTGCGTGTAGCACCTTAGCCTAAATTAAGTCCCAGAGGGCACTACCTGGGAGGTGAGGTGACTGGATACAACGAAGAACTTCCAGGAGTACCAACACAGGAACAACGCTTGCTAATAGCGGGCGGTCGAGGTTAAGGAATAACTTTACCAAAAAAAATCGGATTCGCCAAACACAGGTAATGCTGGGCATTGACGGGATACGTACGAGAAACGAAAGGGGGTAAAATAACCCTGGGAGATCAGTGTAAGGCGTTGCCGATGGGGCCTGCCATACGTTTTTTATACTCATACCCATATAACCTCATCATAAACACGTTGTATAAAAATATATTATGAACTTTCATATTTTATGTAATTAATTTGTGATATACAAGTCGTTCTTACTAAAGATTAAAATTATTATTAATTATCAATTTAACTATTTATAAAAATTTGACATTAGTAATATAATAGAATAATGTTATTTTGTAAATAAAAACTTGCAACTGTCCCATCCGTTACGCGTGGAATGGCCGTATACTTTTTATCTTAATGTACGAATGTGGCGCAAAATAAATATCCAAACACGGATGGCATACAAAATAACGACATGATTTTTTATTGTATCGGTGTTTGGGCATACAAAATCACGGCATGATTTTTTATGCCATCGGTGTACCGACATGTTTGGATATTTATTTTTGTGCCACATTCGTACATTGTGAGAAAATGTATGTTAACTATTGAATTAACAGTTTTTAATATTTTTTTGGATGTAAATTAACTATTAATTTAAATCCAAAAAAATATTGAATGTATTTAACCACAAAAACTGTTGATTCAATATATATGTAGGTATACTTTTTCTCTCAATGTACGAATGTGGTGCAAAAATAAAAATCCAAACACGGATGGCATAAAAAATCACCACATGATTTTTTATGCCATCGGTGTTTGGATATCCATTTTTGGGACACATTTGTACATTGAAAGAAAAAATATGATGTTAACAATTGAATCAACAGTTTAACATTCAATATTTTCTTGGATTTAAATTAACGATATATAGTTAATTTAAATCCAAGAAAATATTAAATGTATTTAACCGCAAAAACTGTTGATTCAACATAATTTTTCTCTTATTGTACGAACGTGGCACAAAAATGATTATCCAAACACCGTTGCCATAAAAAATCACGACATGATCTGTTTGTGCCATCGGTCAATCGCAAACAGCGATGACATGATTTTCATTTCTCACGCAGTGACATCCGGATGATGTCCGTATGAATAAAATTTGTGAAAATCACGACGTGACGTTTGTATGATTTTCATTTATTACGCGGTGACTTCCGTATGATATCAGTATGAATAAAATTTGTGAAAATCACGACGTGATGTTCGTATGAAAATCACGACGTGATGTTCGTATGAATATCACGAATGTTGTCCGGGTAATCATGAGCAAGACAAACTTTCAGGATTTAATTTAACATCGTGCGGTATTCGGTAAGAAAATACTACACCAAATTTTGTTTAAAATAAAATTATTTTAAAATTATATTTTTTGACTTTTAACAATGCCTATTTTTTCTTTGACAAGACACCACCATGACTTCTACTTATTGTAGTTGCACGGAAATATCTTTTAAGACTTAACATAGTACATTCTTTAATTTTTCATAAACATACTACAAATGGTAGAAAATTGCTTTTTTTGCCTTTTTATTTAATTTTTTATATGATATGACATGTATGGGTTGTGATCGTAATGAAAGGAGGCAATTGCTTATCATATTTTGACAGTACAAAACGCCATCAAAAATTTTGTAGTAAACAATATTTTTCAGTCAAAACGAACAACTTTTTTTTACTTTTAAAAATGTGAGTCA